TTTTGTCATTACACTACTTCAAAATCACATTTTCCTTTAGAAGGAAAGTACTTTTAATGTATAATATTTAGCATTTCAATTATGTCATCATCTGTGATGTGATTTATGTAAGGAATTTTGAGTTTTAAATAGCTAGCTTTCAGGGGGGGTTAGGATTGTGGCTCAGCAGTAGGGTGCTTGCCTAGCACATGGGAGGCACTGGGTTTGATCCTCAGCACCACATAAAAATAAATAAAGTTATTGTGTCTGACTAAATAGCTAGCTTTCAGATTATAGGCTACTTAATGTTTATCTAATACAAATACATCTACAAAATATTTTACTCAAAACCAAATGCTACCATGTTTTATATAAGTTGGCTACTAAAGTTTCTTTAAAAAATATATTCTAAATTTTGAGAGTAAGTAACTATTCCTGCAGAAATAATAATAGGATGAATATAAAGGCAAGTATCTCTTAACAATGGGGATACCGCCTGAGAAAATCGTTACTAGGTGATTTCATCATAGTATTGACAACGCAGTGTGAATTTACACGCCTGGATGGTATTAGCTACTACCTACCTAGGCCACGTGGTTTAGCCAGCCCACTGCTCCTAGGCCACCACCTGTGTAGCATGTTACAGATTATAGTGATACTGTGGGCAACTGCAGCACAATGGTAAGTTTCTATTATCTAAACATACCAAACACAAGAAAGCTTCAATAATAGGAATTTTCCGCTCCATTATAATCTTTTGGGATCACCTTCATGTATATGGTCCTTAGACCAAACAGCGTTATGTAGCGTATTACTTCATATATTATCAAGGGAAGAGTACTGTCACTGAATAACAAATGCAGATAAATTTTTTAACTGAAATGCATTGCCAATTATTATATGAAATGCAGTTGCTAATCAAAATAAAAGTGTTTTAGAGAAGATTTTAAGGTTCATGGAGACATTTAAAAATGTGTAACAATCTAAATTACTGATTATAGTTACTGAGTGAGTGTACTTGAAAGGAGAAATCCGGGGTATACAGGTTTAAAAAAAACACTGAAAATACATTGATGTTTGTACAAAATTACTTAGTATTTATTTATTGATCTAAAAACAAAAGTAAATTTGGAAGAATACTTCTTTGTAACATTGTATGTATATAAAAAGTTAACAAACAGACTCTTTGGTTTATTATTTCCTCTTTTTTGATTTTAAGAATTAAAGAACCAAACTGAATATTATGATAATTTTTAAAACAACATCACACATAAGTCACAAGTGTAATTAACATAAAACAATGGTTCTACTTTATATCCCTTAGCCACAGGCACATTAAGAATCAACAGATATTTACCAAATAATCAAATATTTGTGGAGTAATAGTTGAATAAGGACAGGTCTTGAATAAAGCTAAATTAGAATACATCCAGAATTCAACCTCTTTTGTTGTTTATCTGGATTGCACTAGGTGTCGCCTTGGCTAAACAAGATTCGTGCTTCTATCAGTGTGGACTGAAAACATGTACCCAATATCTCAAGACACCATGTCAGAACTGTAGCATCTCCATCATAATAAAGGGACATAAAGTGTTCAGGATGCAGGGTTATTCACTCTATTCTGAAGCCAACTATCAAGAACTACTTTGAAATCATACCCATTTTCTTGAGTTTCTGCTTATAAACTAATATACTATGTGGAATCAAAAATTGCCTTATCAAAATTTAATATCAAAGTACACCTGCATGACATTATCTTTCCAATAATAATAATAATATGGGGAGAAAAAGAGAAGCTGTATTGCTTGAAATTATTATGTACACAAACTTGGCTAGTGTCAGTAAAAACTGAAACACTGAAACTTTTTTTTTTAAGTTATTATGTGTTTGCTCTGTCCTAACCCTGGGGAATTTATCAGCTCAGAAACTTTGGAAGGTTATTATGTACATATTCTGACATACAGGTATTTCTGGAGGGAAAAATAGAAGGAAAACAATCAAAGAAAAAAGGCAAAGGAGAATAAATCTGTTGTGCAAAACTCTAAATTACCTGTCAAGGTGGATGGAATAAAGCATCCTAAAAACTCCCCAATTCCACTAAGAGGAAGAGCACAGTAACTATTTAAAAGGATGTACCTAAAAGCTATTTGTTTCCAGAAATTATATAAGTTGCTGTACAAAATGGCAACAGACTGTTGTTTGAACAGGAAGTTTGGGTTTCTATATCATTTCAGGTTTTAAAGTCACACTGCACTCAACTTCAGGGCTTTTTATTTCATAGCTGCCTAATGCCAATTAGCTCATTATCCTCTTATCTCTGATAGATGCCTAGTCCAGTACCAATAAAGAACAGAAGATATATTGAAGTCCATCTAGTTTGGTGAACTGTAAGTTCTGGACTTTAGAACGTGGGTAAAGAACTATGATCCAGAATTACCACAGTAAATTTTGCTAAGAGCAAAATGAATAATCTCTTCCACCCACTGAGCTCCAATTGTAATGCTTTTTAGTGACCTGACAGTAACCCATGAAGATCATATAATCTCTAGGTAACTATAAAAATTAACCAACAAAATAATTAATATGTCTCTCATTGCAAATGGAATCCTTTGTCTGATTTACAAGGAAATATGTATTCCAAAGGTTTTTATTAATCAAGTTTTCTGCAAATATAATTGGTTACCTTTCCTGTAATAAATGAAAACTCAAAATGTTTTATTTTTATGCTATTAATTTCTTAGGGAGTATGAAAATTTCAAGTTGATGATACTCATTTTTCCAAAACAATAAAAAGTCATGTTGCAGTACTTGGGAATTTCCTTTATTATATGGAAGCTTTAAACCCTACTTTTGTGGATGATATAAAACTAAGTATACATTTTGGATTTGTATTTATAAAATGCTATTTCTGTACAGTTACTGGCATATTTCTATGATTTGTAAAAGGAGAAAGAGCAAAAGACAAGAGTTCTTCAAGAACAGCAGGGGAGAGGCCAGCAAAGTATAGTGCAGCATAGGATGAAAAATACAGGCTTTGTGCTCAAACCTCAGTTCTGCCAATTCAGTGCTATGTGACTCTTGAAAGGTCATGTAACCGCTCCAGAGCTCATTTTGTCTTCTGTAAAAGGAGATTCTTACTTCACAGGGTCATTGTAAATATTTAATGAGACAGCGTATTTAACACTGAGCTTCCTGACGGGATGCACCCTTCTCTAGCCCACAGCCTACAGGTCAGAACTCACTTCTGGCTCCCTTGGCTGTGCTCTCACTGTCACAGGTCTTCTGGTGGCAGGAGATAACAATGGCTTCCTAGCAATTAAAACTGGCCCCATTAGATTATATTCGGAACTTAATCTCATTTTAATCCCTCAACCTCACCTATGATAATTAATTTAAGGTTTGTGTGTCCCTATTATCTGGTGAAATTCAGCTTAACCTCTCCTGGTTGATCACTGTTGCTTTAATCCTACCAGGTGGGGCAGGACAGGCACTGAACCGACTGGGAGGTAGTGACTGTGACGGAATGTGACAGTTCAGAGCCATTGCTTATTAGTTATGTGACTTGGGACATTATCTCCCTGAGTCTCAACTATCAAACCAATCATCTATGAATATAAATATTGGGGAAAATGTCACCCACAAAATATGGTCATGTCAACTTAAGCTTCTAGCTCAAGACCTGGTCTATAGTTAAGTGTTCAATACATGTTAAGCTTTTCTTTTCCCTACTGTCACAATTTTCTACTGTCATGTTTCTTTTCATGTGTTTAAATACTGTCATTATTTTAATTAATTTAATGTTATAGATATTAATATTTGACTGAATCTTGCATTTTTAAAACAATGTATGTCCCTCATAGTGACTTAGAAGATGTTAAATGATACATTTAAAGTGTCAGAAAAGCACTTCACATTTCTGACATGATCCATTGTTTCTCAAATTCTATACCTGTGTATAAAGAAAAGCCAAGGTAAGTGTTTACAAGGGATACGGAGCTTTAATTTCAATAACTTAAGAAAGGCAAAGGGTATCATCTAATCTGAATATCATCATCAAATCAAGATATATAAAGATTTAAAAACCAACCAGGTCCTACAGTAAAGGAAAAACTAGGCCTAGTTCTCACTTTCAGCAGGGTACTCTTGTAAAAGCACTATGGTGTCATATAATATTTGGCTCACATTTTTCAAAAAGCAAATATTTTTTTCAAGCAAAACATCTCAGTACTGTTATGTTAATCCAAAATAAAAATTTAGGCAGGATATTATATTTCTGAAGTCTTTATATGTTAGAAAAAGTAGGATATATAGTCTAGGTTTCTGGCTTGCTATAAATTGACTAAATCATGATGATAGAAGATGGATAGTTAATTGGGGGGAGGGGGGGCAGGGCGTGGAGCCTGCCTGGGTCCAAATGGGAAAGAGGCACATCCAAGATGGTTTTTAAAAGATTAGGAAACAGGATCCTATGAGTATTGTTGTACACATGAGGCTGATACTTTGCAAACACTTAAGCAAAATCAAAAACTGTGGTGAACTATATAGTTTAAATGTTACTATTCTTTCCCAAACAATTGTACACTGCTCCACAGTAAAGCTAATAAAACATGACAAGTTATCCTGTAAATTTAAAGTTAATTAAAAACAAAAAAGGCTTTATCACATTTTCTTATATATTTCAACATGTGAAAACATCATAAAGACATAAAGCATCACTTTTTTATAGTATTTTTTTTTTTTCAAAAACACAGACTTTGGAATGAATGGTCAAAATCTATGTACCACCTGTTCACTCAAGTTTCTAATAAAACACTTAAGATTTTTCAGATTGAAGAAAACAATTTAGTTTACACTTTTTTTCTACCATTACAATTTTAAAATCATGTCTTTACAGAGAAAGTCCATCTATAGGGTAATTAAGCACAACTAATTTTATCATACAGAACAATAACTGCTGTACACTACTATGCTGTAAACATGTAATTCACACCCACAGTTCTTCCATTACAGAAATCTGTGCACATGTTATAACAACTATCCACTGTGTTCTTTGGACAAGTATTTATAGCTACATTCATTTATATTTCAATAGCTATTTGAAATTACAGCATTTCATTTGTTTTTGTGGATAAAATTTCCAAACTTTTGCATAAATCCTCGAAACTTGTTTTCATTTGGCTGATAGGAGCGGTAAACACCAGCATTGTAATTAAGCATTGGGCTGGTTCTGCCATAACTGTTACCCATCGTTGTGGGTTTTATTTCTGGGCGATTTACACTGGTATTTGGAATGCTGCTTGTTGGCTGCATAGAGCTCTCGATCTTACAAAATGGTTCAAATCGACTGTAAACACGCCGGTCAGTTGAATGAGTTCGGAGAAGCTCACTGGGCTTTGGCCTTGGAGAAGAGGTTGCTCTTCTTTCAGGAACAACAGGTGCATTCACCTCCTTTGAATCGCGGTATTGGATCTGTTCAGTGTTAAATCTTGGGGCAGAGGCATCTCCTGCCCTCTCCAAGAACTTTCTTTCAGCTTGACCTGGGGAAGGTATTATTTTGTCTCTTTCATCTGATGGAGGATTCATCCCCTGAATTGAGCCAACTGTTACATCTTCCTTACTCTTGTGAATGCTGCCTTGAGAATTTGATGAGGAAGAACGCTTTCTTCTAGGAGATGAATCAGCTTTTGGTTCTGATTTCTTTAGTTTTTGATTCTCCTCACCTTCAGATACTAATGTGTCAGAGCTACTGCACATTCTATAAAATGCAGGTGCTTTGTTTTTGGATAGATTTTCTTTCTTTTCTGGGGTAAGGCTAAGTAATGACCTTAACTTCTGAGATCCCTTTTTCAAAAAACTTGGGGAACCCTTTACCTCCTTCTTTGATGCATGTTCTTTGTTGGGTTCCTCTTTATTCACATCAAGTAAAGCAGCCATGGAAATTGATTTGGTGGTGGTGCCACTTGGAGCATCTTTCTTGATAGAGGCTTCCTCCCCCTCCTCCTCCTCCAAGTTATGGGTCACATTGTGCATGCTTTTAGAACTTTTTAGCAAATCCTCTTTGGGTTTTTCTGGCTGTCTAACTCGATTCCTGGTAAGTGTACTATATACATAATGCTTACTATTTCCATGATCTAAATTGGGTTTTGAATGGTCAAAGAATGGGAAGCTGCGTCTTTTAAGAAGATTCTCTTTTTGTTGATTCTTCAGATTTTCTGCCTGCTTATTTACACACAAGGTTGTATATATATAGTTGTTTGATTCTGCATGGGCATTTGTAGTTTGGTTTAAGATTGGTGACTGGTTTTCAGGAACCTGCAAGGTATGCATTTTTGGTGCTTCTGACTGAATTAGGAGCTTGGGGATTGATTCAGGTAAAGGTTTCTCTGTCAAATGCTGTACACTTGGAGGGGTATCTGGGATCTCTTTAGGTGTGTCACTTCCCTGGGAATCAACGATAGTTGAATTGGAAGAGCTGGTTGTACAACTGTTAACCTCTTGCTGCTCAGGTAGAGTTGGTTTAAATACAAAAGAGGAGCGAAGCCGAGAGTGAGTATAAACGGCATTGGCTTTCAAATTCTCAGAGCTATCATAGCCCTCAAATCGGTCACCTAAAGCGGAGCCATTTGATTCAGGTGTGCCTTCTGAATTGTCATTTAAGTAGGATTCAATTCTCCAGTTGCGCAGGAATGATTTAGTGGTGTGCTCGAGGGTTGGCATTCGTTGTTGTAAAGAGCGAATGTGATTATCTGTCCCATTAAAAGACCTCCGCACATTCGAATTCCTTTCTGCAAGATTTGTTGTCTTTCTCTGGGCAAGCCGATTGGCAAAACTCTGGGCGGGTGTATTATGGTGGCCTGTATAGCCTCCCCGCGATGAGGATGCCACACTGAGACTATCTGAAGGCCTCTTCCAATTCCCAGGAGGATTATTGGTTCGATTCAGAGCCCTATTAAGCAGCAGGTATGGTGTTGTTTCTGGCTGTTCCCCAGCATAACTATGTCTTTTCCAATTTTCATTTATTTGATTGGGTTGAAACTGTCGGATTGTGTTTGGACCATTAAAGTTTGGAATAAAATGAGGTTTGTATCCATGATTTCTTATGTTGTATTTGTCATATTCATTTAGGGCATATATCCCTCTGTTTTTGAAGTAACTAGAATCTAGTTTATGAATTTTGTCTTGTCTACCAAAGAGGTTTCTTTGGCTGGAAACAGAAGCTAGTGAAGAAACCGATCGCTGGTAGGTGCCGTTCTCCCAGAGTGCCTTGCCATGCTTCACCCTTGCCAATTCCTCCTGAGCAAATGAACTGGGGACACAGGATCTGGCATAAAGGGTTCTAAATTCTTCATCAAAGGACTCAACAAGTTGCCCTGTGATTATCTGGACCATGCTGAGGTGTGCTTTTTCAAATGACCACATGTAGCTGAAAAAAAAAAAAAAGAAAGAAAATTATAATTTTGCTAGGTTAAAATTATGATGATAATATATAGTTCTACAATGTCATTTAATATTAACAAAAGAATACTGGTGTTTGTTCTGCTTGGATAGCATAGCTTATAGAATTTTTCAGTTATTTATGCTTGTAATGTAGGTATCTCCTATGTTCAAAGAACAAAGCAACTCAACTTCTGGTATTAAATCCACTCAAGAGTTTTTTATACTACTTTCCAGAAGCTCAGAGAAAAGCTTGCTGTGCATTTTTCATCTTTGCCTACCAAGATTTTATGGAGTAAACAATATTATATTTCACATATACTATCCTGCCAGGGTATAGAAAAGCCAGTATTGGAGGAAAAGCTGGGAGGCCTGGCTTCTGCAGAGATATAGCCACATGAGCTTGGACCTCACTTTCCCCAAGTCCAAAATAAGGACATAGATAGTATAATAGCTACAATACCCTATGCTCCTAGGATGTAATAATGCAAGATGAGCCTGTGCTAATGCATGTATTTTGAAAGTCTCAATGTCTTCAGACTGTTATCTCTGTGGCTTACTCAGCAAGTGTAATTTAGGTTGCAGGGAGCTGTAAACAGGATTTATAGTTAGCTTCCTCAATCACTAATGGGCATACTTCCCTGTACTCGGTGTACACAGGACTAGTAACTATAGTCCTTATAAGCCATGCCATTCAAAAATGTCAATCAGGATCTTTTAATATAGAATGCAATTTATAAGACATTAAGGTTTGTAATGACTTACAGTACTTTATGGAACTTTCAACTCCTTTCCACCTTTAGAGGTAACAGCTGTCTTGAAATTTTCTATCAAATTTTAAATCTGATTTTTGAAAACATAGATGATATAAAGAACCACTATGCTGGAAAAATGCATTGCTAATATGCTATGCATATGCTATGTACATAATACAATGGAGGTTTATACAAAAGAGAAATGAGACAGAGACACATTCTACATTAAAATATCTTACTATCTATAGAGGGAAACAACAAAAAACACAAATATAAAGATTTTTTTAAACCTGCATAGTAATAATTTAAAATGCACAAAACAACAATATAACACTTAAGAATCTTGCTATGCTGATATGCTCAAGTTTATCTGTTATCCTGGTGGAATGTGTGGTTTAAGAATATTTACCAGCTGCTTTTTATGTGAATATGTGAGCCACCAGGATGACTTAAAAGAAATTGTACAAAAGTCAATAAATAATTTTCAATTCAATTGAAGATATGAATACAACATGTAATCAAGTAATGAAATAAATAACTAGAAAGTATGTGGAAATCCCTTAAGAGAGTGGGAGCTTAGCGAAATTTTATCAGAGACTAGATACTCAGAAGTTCAGACATGAAAGACGTGGGAAGACAATTTGTGTGGAAAAAGAGACATATGGAAAAGTAAGGGAAGCAATAATAGCTACGTTTCAGTCAAACACAGAACTAAATATATTTAGTTGGATTAAAAGAGTTATGTAAGGGATTTTGTGAACCAGTTGTGAAAGCAAGGGAGAGAAGTCTTGAAAGCAAAGCAGAACATTGGATTGCTTAGGACTTGTTTCTGAAATTGGATAATTTACAGTAAAAAGAGATGTTTCAAGAATTATTTTTTTCTAGTGGCTGTTTGTAATTTGGATTGAAAGATGAGGAACTGTAGTTACTATGAAGAATAAGGTAAGAGTCTAGACTTTAGCAGAAATTGGAATAATGAGTAAAACTTGAGCCACTAGGAAAAAGAAAGGACCTGATCTTCATGCCATAAAGAATGTCTATAGGTTATGAAGTGAAAATACCCTCCAGCTGTTGAGTTTAGGAACCTGAGAAGATATTGCTACTAGTAAATGTATGACAACTGGGAAAAGTTTCTAGGTCCAGTAAATCAGAATATTTTAATAAAAGTTCAGGGAACAGGAAGACATTTGATTGAATATGTTTAATTAGTAAATCTGAGAATCTGGAGAAAAGGGGCATTCTGTAGGGTTTGGGGACAGATTCCTGTGTTTCTCTCTCATCCTTGGTAATTTGTATTATCCAAATGTCAATAAGATCTGTTTTATCAGTGCTGACCTCTTCCTTATCTCTGGAAAATTGCAATCTAAACTTGCAATTTTAATGAACTTTATAAAACTAAGATGTCATCGATCCTCATCCAACGCTTCTCTTCGCACAACCTGTTTCCTCCCCAATCTTACTTATTTAAGTCAGTGACTCAATCATCCTTTCAGGCGATCAAGATAGAAAACAGGAGCTACCTCTGATGCTCTTTCTCAGAACCAAGAAGAAAAGCAGGTCCTAATCACTCTGATTCCCAAACCAATCACAGATGTCTCCTGTTTCCTATGACCTTAGTCTGAGGTGTCATCTGCTAACTTGGCTCTTCTTCATTTGCTTATTTTTCAATTAACAGTAGCAAAAGTGATGTATTCAGAATATAAATTGGGTCATGTCATATTCCTACATAGAATTTTCCATTTATTTAAGATGAAATCCAAACTCCTCCTTACCTGGCCTAAGAGAATACCTTTTCGACATTCTTTCCTGTTCTACCTTGAAGAGCTTCTCTCCTTGTAGAAGGTGTTCCTGTCACATTGGTCTTCTTTCTAGAGATAATAGTTCCACCAGATAATGTGTCCCAGGATTTTTGTTGTTACTGTTTCTTTGAAGATACTTTCTTCCCTCTGGTCCCTGACTGACTGACTCCTAATCACTCTAGTCAAAGTAGCCATGTTATCATGCTTTGTCCTATTTCCTTGGTCAGATTGCTCCAGTCCTCATTATTACTATCTAATATTTTATTGTTTGTTTTCTCATTGTCTTTCTTGCTCACTAAAATAAAACTTCTCTCAGCTTATTGACCTTGTTGAGGACTATATTCTCAGGGGGTTAAGAATGGTGCTTGGCATATTGTAGACACTTTTAAATATTTGCTATAAACAAACACAAGAAAGTATAAATGAATTATTATTTTCTAAGTCACAGAAGATTAAAAGGCAGAGATGTTTATATTTGTGGAAAGTTTAAAGGGTTTCAGTTAAATTTGTTTAGTAAGCTTGTTTATTTCTTTTTCTTTCCTTTATACTACTAGGAAGACAGCAAAGGTAATAGGTAACAGGTGGGAGTATTCAATGTATTCTGAAGCAGAGAAATCCAAAGGAAAAGTGGTAGCAATTCAGAGGAAGTTTGTGCAAGTTAAGTACCAATGGGAATAAGCCATTTGGGCCAATACAAAATTTATAGATTTAATGTTGGAAGAAAAGGGTACAACAGATGGTAGGTCATTGCTATGGCTTGAATGTGTCCTTCAGAATTCATGTGCTGGAAACTTAATCTTCAAGGTCATATGCTAATGTATGTGGAGGCAGAACATTTGGGAGGTAATTAGGATTAGATGAGGTCATGAGGGTGGATGCCCATGATGCAATTAGTGGTTTATATGAAAAGGAAGAAAGACCCAAGCTATAAAGTTTTATACCATGTGATACCCTGCACCGCCTTGGACTCTAGAAAATCCCCACCAGTGGGAATGCTCTCACCAGATGCAGCCCCTTGACCTTGCACTTCACAGTCTCCAGGACTTTAAGAAATGAATTTATTTTCTCTATAAATTACACAGAATGTGGTATTCAATTATAGTGATATAAAACAGACAGGATGGTTATTAAAGCCACAAAAACAGGGAAATGGAGATTGACGGAAAGTCTTGGGCTTATAGGTTCCCTTCTCTTCCCTCTCCCATTCACCATTCCTTCATCCTTTTCATCAGAAAGTGACCCCGAGAAGATCTTAGCTCAGGATCTTTAAACAGCACAAGGCAGAGGTGAAACTGAGGCAGAAAACAGAATTATCAGGCCCCCATTTTCCTTTTCCAGTTTGTTGTTGTTATAGACTATTTCTGTATTCCAGAAACAGACTGGAAAAGGGAATCCCCCACTCTGGTCAGTGCCACATCACCTCCAAATTTTGCCCCCTTCTATTAAACAGTCATGGAAAGAGATTATTCTCAGGAAACACTGAACAGCCCTAGACAAGCTATGTATATTGACATGTGTGAATCCTTCTATAAATCTTCCAGGACCCCAGTCAATCACTCAATTGAAAGTTAAACTTTGATAAATATTTTCTATGCAACTTCTGATCAGCTTTATCATCAATCATTCAGAAGCAAACTTTGGCAAAATTGAGTGGGTAAAAAATTAGTAACCACTTTGAAAAAATAGAACAAGAGAGAAGAGCAATAAAAACCCAGATAATTTGATCAAATGCTATGGACAAATGGGTGGAATAAACACACATAGAACACTCAACAAAATCAGAATATATATTCTTCTCAAATTGACATTCAGTAGGGGCTGGGGTTGTGCCACATGTGTGACGCACTGTATTCAAACCTCAGCACCACATAAAAATAAACAAATAAAAATAAAGGTATTGTGTCCATTTACAACTATTTTTTTTAAAAAAATGGACATAGAATATTTTCCAGAATAGACCATATTAAAGTCAAACACGAGTCTTAACAATGTAAGGAAGATTTGAATCATGCAAAGTACCTTCTCTGATTATAATGGAATAAAACTAGAAATCAATAGCATAAGAAAACTGAAAAGTCCACAGACATTTGTAAATTAACAGTTTTGAACAACAAATGGGTCAAAGAAAGTCACAAGAGAAATCAGAAAATACCTTGAGACAAATGAAAATGGAAATTCAGCATATTAAAATTTATGGAATACAGTGAGAACACCTCCAAGAGGGAAAGCTGTTGATGCATACATTAAAAATTCAGAAAGATCTTAAATCAGCAATTTAACTTTATACCTCAATAAACTGGGAAAAAAAGAGAATAGATATAGATTAGAACAAACTAATTAGGGTGGTGGGAAAATGTCCTAGAACTTCAAGAAAGGGGGAAAAAAGATTTACATTAAAAGAATGGAAATAATAATTGTTGAGACTTCTCAACAGTAACTCTGATTATAACACCTTCCAAACTTGGAGGAAAATGATTCAGCCAAAAATTCCATCTCAAACTAAGCTTCAAATCACCTAGAATTATGAATTTGGGGGTTAAATGTTCTTGAGCAAACTTGGGAGACAACTAGAAACATGGAAACAAAAACAAATAAAAGTAGGATTCAAGAAATCACAGATCACAGATCAAACCACCCAGGAATATGGGACATATGAGGGCTCTAATTGTGCTCCTGGTTAGGCCAGGTTAGACATCACAGATTGTTGTCAGCTACTCAGTATTTGGAAAAGTCATTCATCTGCTGCAAAACCTGTGTGGTCAACTGGAAACATAGCAATAGAGATAAAACAAGAACAATGAATGAAAGCAAAAATAAAATAGCCATTATTCACTCTTAAGACATATATCATAAATTACTCCATGGCTCAACAATGATCAATTTTGACGGAATTTCAATAATGTAATCCTGGACTTTTCATTTAGCAAATATTGTGGTAAAACTATATCAAGACACTGGAGATAAGAAAGGAAAGTGGATGTGAATATATCGCCATCTATCCTAGCTGGCGACCTAATGCTGGGTTCACAAAATCTAACCATTCCAATAACTTAAGAAAATGACAAAGAAAGCACACAAACACACAGAACTTTCTTTTCAAAATCTGTGATGGCTCTCCGACCATAAGGGTCAGTGGAAAGAGAGAGAGCCACTAGAATTCTTTATTCTTCTATAGGGGACACACAAGGGGAGGTTCTATGGAACATTCTATCCTAAAAGGGGCTAAAGGGTAGGGATTACAAAGGAACAGGAGAGTGTAACTCAACCCCACCAGGTGAGGCCTACTCCTGGAGCCACGCTGGGGTAATGCCCAAGTTACTGTGACCTGGCACTGCCTTGCCACACTGAACACAATTATTGGTGAGAACCCTGGTGCATCAGGACTTAAAGGCGCCTGCATTCAGGGCAGCTCCCGACAATCCTGGACTTTTCATTTAGCAAAACTTGTGATAAAACTATATTGAGAAACTGGAGATAAGAAAGGAAAGTGAATGTGAATGGGTGAGAAATACAATTCCTCAATTACTGTAATGAAACGCCAAGATACAATAATTGAAATTGATAAATTAAGAAAGAACAGTATGCTCACATTATTGAAGGAATGGAATAAGAATCAGAAGAACTAGCTCAAGGAAGTGAATAATTACATTTAGAGGTCAGAAGCAACAGTGAGTACAGATAAAAAAAAAAAAAAACCAAGAAATGCTGTTTTGTACTACACATCTTTTAGTAATATTTGATTTTAAAAAATTACTCCCATCTCCTCCAAACACACACGGATGTATATTAGTCATGAAGTTGGAAGTGTGGCTATGAATTCTCATACCAAAAAGTGGATTAAAAACACTCTGGGTTCCTGGCAGGGTGTTAAAAAGTAAAATTCATGGGGTGTACATAGTGATGGTATATTGGTTGTAGTATGAATCTCAAATGTGAAAATCTTCATGTCTGATCAAAAATGGCACTGGAGAGACACCAACTTCAGTGAGTCTTTGGGAAGTAACTTTTATAAAGATCATAAGATTTAAGAAATAGAAGCTCATAAAATTCTTTCTTGGTTCAATATGTGGAAAATGCTTTACTAAATACCTTTCAGGGTTTTATATGAAAATTTCAAATGGGAATTATCAAATTCAAGATATTTTTATACTCTTTGATTAAAAAATATTTAAGTGTTTTATCTCATCAATGTTATTATCATGTTATGGCAAAAAGCCTATTGTATAAAAACTATCACCATGATGTGTGAGCTGTCACACAACAGATGTGTGACTGTGTGAATACAAATTCCAGGCCCTTCTGGCTGGGAGTTTAGAACCCATTGACATCTCACAGCAAAGAATTTTGAATTAAAGAAGCCATTTTTCAATTTGCCTGTGAGGAAAGTAATGGCAATACCAGAATATGAAAGACAAAGGCTGTTTTCAAAGTATAGGAGATACTTTTTAAAAATCAAACTGGTTTGTAACTATTCCAACAGAATCCATGAAAATATTGTTAACAATAAATATCTATGATATCAGTCATGAAAAACAAAATAAAAATGGTTGACAACCACTAAATTTTAAAGAAGTATAATCAAAATGAACACAGGGAAATGGATGGCATTAGAGCAGATTATGCTAAGTGAAGCTAGCCAATCTCTAAAAAACAAATGCCAAATGTCTTCTTTGATATAAGGAGAGTAACTAAGAACAGAGTAGGGTCGAAGAGCATGAGAAGAAGATTAACATTAAACAGGGATGAGAGGTGGGAGGGAAAGGGAGAGAGAAGGGAAAAAGCATGGAAACGGAAGGAGACCCTCAGAGTTATACAAAAGTTCATACAAGAGGAAGTGAGGGGAAGGGGAAAAATAATACAAGGGGGACAAACGAATGTCAGTAGAGGGGGCAGAGAGAGAAGAGGGGAGGGGAGGGGAGGGGAGGGGGGATAGTAGAGGATAGGAAAGGCAGCAGAATACAACAGACACTAGTATGGCAATATGTAAATCAATGGATGTGTAACTGATGTGATTCTGCAATCTGTATATGGGGTAAAAATGGGAGCTCATAACCCACTTGAATCAAATTGTGAAATATGATATATCAAGAACTATGTAATGTTTTGAACAGCCAACAATAAAAAATTAAAAAAAAAAAAGAAAAAAAAAAGAATTTTTAGTGAATTGCTATTATCTGTGTTCCTAGGAATTCCATGTTCATTTCCAATTATACCTCTGACCTATGATATAGATAGAACAACATAGAGTTTTTGCTTTGTATTGATTTTGGTGATTGCAATTATCTGTTTTTCCCCATATCAATATAAAGCAGCTTAGCTACATTTATCTGAACACTGGGCACTTATTAATACCTAGTGGTAGCAAACCAAAGTTCAGGTGAAATTTCCTACTGAAGACAATATTAAAAGTCAAGTTAAATATTAAAAACACAAAGCATTAATTATGATGAACTGAAATAAGAAATACTATTCTGTGAGTCAAATAAGCTCTCAATTTTAATTGTAATTTTAATTAAAAACTCTAAAACTAAGTGTGTCTGAACAAATATATACACATATAATAAGACTTTAAAAGGACTCATTAATTTTAAGCATTAATTGTAATTTCTGCTCTTAACAAGTGTTCACTTGGAACTGCAAACAGCAACAACAAAAAAAAAACTCCCTGAGCTTAAAGGGAATGGTAGCAGAAAATAATAGTTATAACAAAGCCCTAAAATAATAGCTAAGATTAGGGATTAAGGATGCATTAACTCATTTAATCTTCATAACCATGTCATGAGGCAAGTCCTATGAATATCCTTATTTTCAGCTCAGCAAATCAAAGTGCAACCAAATTACATGACTTGCTTGGGGCCATCAATTTCAGAATTTTAGTGTGGTTCTTCCTTCCTGGGATCTTTTAAGCTTTAAGCAAAAGAGACCATGGATTCTACACCCCCCCCCCAACTTCTATTTATATCTACCTCTTTTCTGGGGTCTCTCTCATCTTTAATAGTGAATCTGCACTGCCCTGATGACCTGGCACTACACAGATATTTGCAGGTAATTTTATCTGCTTGTTCACACAGCCTCATCCTGTATCTCATGCAGGACTGATGCCAGGATTTAAAAGGGAATGTCGACAAGTGTGCATACTCTGGATAAGCCTGTCCTGGATTGGGTTGCCTATCTAGTGTGATAAGATGCTGAATAACACCAAAATAAGAAAAATCTATTCAACAGTCTCTTCAAAGCAGTGAAGAGCTTCTATTTTTATAAGTAGTAGTTGTTACTTAATGTACATTGTACAGTGTTTTCACAGGAGAAAAACTACCTGGGTAGTGTTATAGAGCTGTAGGGAACCTAAGATATTAGTCAAAATCCTCATTTTCTAGAAGAACCTGAAGCTCTAGGGAATATGGGATTTGCCTAGAGTCTTAATCCTTTAGAGGCAGGACCAAGAGTGAAACATGGTCTCCAATCTTCTATGCAAGCATTCCTTTCTTGTTTTTAAGAGTGAGCTAAGACGATTGTATAAAAATTTGAAACTTAATCAATTATTTAAATGATGGATAATGCTGAAGACAAACACAATGTTCTTACCTGTAAGAGCCATACATCACTTTTTGGCAGTCTACTAACAAAAATTTCTGTTCCAGTTTTCCATGGAATTTTGCCCCAGTTTTTGAAAGATAATCTTGACCTTTTACTGTCCGCACTCGAATATTCTAGAATTATATGTAAATATAAATTTTAAATTATGGCTAGAAAGGAGATATTTTGAAAAGTCAAATATATATCAATATAAAACCTTAATAACAAAAAACATTTACTTAAATTCAATTTATAAAACACATAAAAAATTGTGAAAAAATCTCTCAAAAATTACTCAAGAAAAATGATCACTTATAAAATACATTTCAACAAAGCTTAAAGAAGCAGTAGATGGTGCTTTATATTTATACAGAATGATTTTATTAATTACTTAGGATCCTATTGTGACAAATCCTTTTGAATTATAGCATCATGAAGATAAAATAACAAATTAAAATCGGTCTTCCTTTCAAAAGTCAAACATAACTGATAACTGTATGCTAAATGATCTTGACAAGCAATATGTGCTGAATCATAGCCACTGCTCCTGTCAGTGGATCAAGGTTGTACCTGCAAAATGGAAGCATTAAATATCCTAGCAAAGTTAACTAAGAAAAGCCTTATATAAGGATGTGGTTTTAGGCATATTCTGAAAAGCTCCAGAGGGCCTGTCTGTGATCAATCATTGTATCACCTTAAGTATACACACATTTTTTTCTTTTTACTTTTGGAATGATCAGTCTTAGCATGACTTAAACTGAAGGAGAAGAAAATGATGCACAAAAATGCCTGAGAAAAAAATAGAATTCTTACCCTGAGACGTTGAATTTGACAACTCTGCTTTTCAGTCATATTTAGAAAATGATTAAAATTGGACTCATCGAGTAAAATATATACAGATATCCCCCGAGTTGATGCCTCCACTATTTCTTTGAAAATGTCCACATCTGTAAACATATCCATCACTAAAGCAATCACCTGTTAAAGAAAGGATAGGAAGCAATTTCAGATATATAATAAAGATTAAGAAATTCCTTAGTTTCAGTAAAAACTGGACAAAATAGAAAACAATGAAATATGTACATACATACATATACATAAATCATATACTAATAAGTATGCCATTTTATATAAATAAAAATATATTTTAAATAAGCCAAAACATATATGTTGATTTGTTACAATAATAGTCTGTGTTTTAAATCCATAGTTCTTGAAACTGTGTTAAGAATAGACTTTAGTGCCAGGTGCAGTGGCATGCCTGTAATCCCAGCAGCTTGGGAGGCTGAGGCAGGAGGACTGAAAGTTCAAAGCCAGCCTCAGCAAAATCAAAGCACTAAGCAACTCAGTGAGACCCTGTCTCTAAATAAAACAAATAATAGGGCTGGAGATGTGGCTCAGTAGTCAAGTGCCCCTGAGTCTGATCCCCGGTACCTCTCCCACCCTCCCCAAAAAGAACAGACTTTAGGAGTGGGAGCAAAGTTTGAAATAGAACAACTGTAACAGGAGGTGATGGTGAGGACCAAAACGGTGGTGTCTGTGATGGGCGATGCTGGGTATTTGAGCCAAAAGGACTTGTGAATGGAGTACATGTAAAGAGTGAGAAAAAAAGGCAAAGCAGGTCAACTCTAAAACTTTTAGCCTCACAAAGACAGAACTGACAGCAGGTACAATAAGTTTTAGGTGCAATATTAAGAAGAAAATTTAGGTTTGAGGGGCCTGGATATCCAAATAGAATGCTGAGAGGTCTGGGCCAGAAATGTAAATTAGGTGTCAATGGTCTGGAGATAATTGAATCCCAGTCATCAAGGGAGAGAGGATAAATAGAAGACCAAGGAATGAATCCTGTGACACTCCAAAGTTAAAATGGGCTAAAACAAGAGAAGGTAACAGCAAGGAGGCATCTTGAAATCCAAGCACAGTATCAAGGAGGAGGGTATTAGGAGCACCAAATCCTACTGCTAGCCCACATGCAGATTAGTGAAAAGCAAAAGCAAAAGCCTTAGTGGAAGGTGTCTGGGAGTGAATGGGAGGACAGACACTGGATATAACTGCAAAAGACAACTATGTTTTTTATAATTTGGCTATAAACAGGAAGCAGACAAATGAAGCAAGACTGCAGGTCAAGAGGAGTTGTACTTGTTTTAAGGTGAGAAAAATAATAGCATGTATATGCTACTAAAATGTTCCAGTAAAGAGCGGAAATAAATGATGCAAGAGAATGTGGGAGGGGAGGTGGGAAGAGGAGAGTTCCCGGAGCAAGGCCTTTGGGTCTGAGTGGTTAATGAGGGATAGAATCTAGTGCAAAAACAAAGGAATTATAGCATTTATTGTACAAACCAGCAAATGATCCTATGAAGCCTAAAAGCCACATACAAACACTCGAAGACGGGATGTGCTAGAGACACTGGAGAAAAGGGATTTTCTTGGTGTTGTTGGAAATGTGGTCCTCAACTGAGTGTGAAGCTTTAGAAAGATATTTTAGAGGTCTGAGAAAAGGATACCAAGAAGTCATCTAGAAGGGTAGGAAAGGAAATCGACTAAGAAAATAGAGTCTGGTTGCTGATTAGCATAAGGACTCACCAGGTGATAAACTTGTTATGGGAACAGTATATAAATAATGATTGTGACTTATTCTCCTCTGGCCTTGTTCAGCCGCAGGTGCACAGGCATGGAATAGCCAGAGAGTTTGATTTAACAATGGCTGTAGTCCTGCCATACAGTGTAACAACTTGAGAAAGGACAGAGGAATTGAAGGTATGCATAAATGACTAATCTTTAGTCATTTGGGCTGGAAATAGAGTGGAAACAAGATGCTATGACTGTGAGAGACAGAGAAATGGGGACGAGATCAATGAGTTGAATGTTTTTCTGGTTTTAAAGGACAGGTAGATGTTAAGGAATTCTGTGTGTTTAGGTTTAGTGTGTATCTTATCTTTTAAATATACAGGTTAATATGGCCGCAAAGGAAAAAAAATCTTGATTTGTATTTACTTCACATTATAGGAAATGAAATAAAATTAGCCATAAATTCATAATTTTTGAGGATGGTTTACTGTATACAGGAGATCTCTTTGTATTATTTTTTCTACTTTTGAAACTTTCCATAAAGTGAGGTTAAAAATATAAAAAGACAAATGTTTGATTAAAGCATACACCAGAGTCAGAAGGCAGAAATAGAAGCAGAAGGTATTGTCAGAGAGGGATACATGAGTTAGATAGGGAGGATCTGCAGGTTACCTTCAAGGATATGATTGGGAGTCAATGGCTAAGGTATTTTAGGAAAAGATCATCAGGAAAAGAAAGGGAAGTACGTTTATAGAAAGATCTCTTACATTGTATATTTCAATTGCCAGGAATTGAGGCAAGATAAGTGTCAAAAAGAGTAATAGGAAGTAGGATCCAAAGCCATCAAAAAATGAAAGGGAATTGAATAGCATGGGAACAGGCACATGACAACATCAGGATATGTTAGAAGAGGATTGAGTCATTGGTAATATTAAGACATTTTTATTTACTATATTTAAACAAAATATTAGACCATGGTCGTATCAGGAGATGACCTTCTTCACACTACCTGTGAAAAATTTCAGCCAGACTGTCTGCAGGAAGAACAATTTCTACCATGCTAAGTGGGGTCTCTCATTTCTTTTTTATTAATGAATTGATATGAGGCACCAGAAGGCAGAAACTAACAAAAACAATCTCACCTACATCGTGAAAATATTCTCAATAATATCAGATATGTGAAGTTTCAAAACACATCTACAATTATTAATCTAATGTAATTTCTATGCATTAATGAGTAGTGTAATAATATATGAGCAATAACATAAAGAAAACATTCAACACACATTTATATATATATATATATATATATATATATATATATATATATATTTTTTTTTTTTTTTTCAAAACAACTTCTATTGCTATACAACATGATATTCTTTAATCTGTGTATCTAAGAATTCCTTTTTAATTTACCAGATAGTCTCCTGCAACAAATTATTTTAGACTTCAGGAATGAACAAAAACATATTACCAGGATACATAAAGATTTTTGCTTATAAAAAAGTAATTGAAGTCACTCAGCCATTGAATGATTCACATCAAAGGTAAAACAAATGACAGTCATTCTTGCATGCAGATAATACACTAAGTCAGCATCCAGGAGATTAGATTATACATTTTCAACAAGTTTATCTAATGTTAACCAAGCCAGGCTGCTTTGTGGGGCTTCTATTTCTTTTTTTCCTTTTAAAAAAATTATTCTTTTTTAATTATCACAAAAGCATGGAACATAACTAACTCCAATTCAGTTCCTAGCTCTTTCACTCTGCCCCCCCCCCCCCTCTGCTCCCCTAACTCTACTCCACCGAGCCCTCTTCAATCCATTTAGAGTTTTTGTTTGTTTGTTTGTTTGTTTTTGATTAGTGTTCTGTGGATACACCTGATGCCAAGACTCACCTGTAATATTGTAATATCCATGCATATGACAATATGGTGAGATTCACTCTACTATACTTCCTTTTCCCCATCCTTCTTCCTCCTCCTTAATCCTCTTTGTCTACTGATTTTTCCTCTATTTTATTAAAATTATGCTTCCTTTTTTTCCTCTCTGTATTTTTTTTATTTCCCTTTCTGCTTATTTTGGATTAGCTTCTGCTAACCAGAGAAAACATTTGACCTTTGACTTTTGGGGACTGGCTTATTTTACTTAGTATGATAGTTTCCATTTACCAACAAATGCCATATTAGTCTTTATTATGGCTGAATAATATTCCATTTGTATACACACCATATTATCCATTCATTTGTTGAAGGGCACCTACATTGGTTCCATAGCTTGGATATGAAAATTGTGCTGCTATAAACTTTGATGTGGCTGTATCATGGTAGCATGCTGATTTTAAATCTTTTGGAAGTGGACTGAGGAGTGGAATAGCTAGGCGACATAGTGGTTCTATTACTAGTGTTTTCAGGAATCTCCATACTACTTTCCAAAGTGGTTGCACTAATTTGCAGTCCCACCAACAATGTATGAGTGTATCTTTTCCCCACATCCTCACCAATACTTATTGCTATTCATATTCTTGATAATTGTCAGGGTTTCATTCAATGTAGTGAAAAGTTACAAAAGAACTACAGAACATTTCAGGTAACATAACATGTAGTTCTTCTTTATGGTGGATTACATTCTGGGAAGAGTAATGATTAGAAATAATGTATTCAAAATTTTATCTGAAATTACTACTTGCCCAGCTAGTTATTTAAATTACACTGTGTAGTAGACATGACCATAATGACTATATGTAATCAAAGAAAAATATATGCCAGATAAGAATAATGCTTTCAAAAGGTACATTGACTGATTATATATCAACACAAAATCCATTTATGTTGAATGGTTTTCATTAAACTACCACAACAGTATATAGTCCTTAAATTCTTCTCTTGATTCTATATTCTTATTTTGTTCTTGCCTGATAAATTGAAATAAGTCTATTCATCATGAGACTTGGAAAATTTTTTAAGATATCCTGAATCGCTTTTAACATTTGAAAGAAACATGATATTTTTTAGTAGTTTCAGAGAACGTGATTCAAGGACGTTAGTTTTTACTTATTTTTTCTCACAGTAAAGTATTAAATTTAAAAATTCAGTCTGTATGTGCATGGTTGTTAGGAGTAGGAGCGTAGGAGAATGAAACAGACAACAGGGCTTCAAGGATAAGCCTTAAATAATGAATAAAGATTATTTTTAGCTATCTAAGCTGGAAGACTAGCATTGCAAAGACACACAGGCAAAGATGAGAATGAAGATGATGATAATATTTTAACAAATGTGTATTGAATTCACCTAAAGTTAAATCCAAAGATCACAATGCTTTTATGCATAAAATAAATGTAATCAGAGAATTATATAGGTTATAAAAGATCTTGAAAATCTGATACATGTTTAGATTTGACCCATAG